TGCAGTTAATTGATGATGAGAACATAGCTAATAGGTGTAAAACTTGGATTCAATTATAAAATGATGGTGTTACTCCAAAAGTTTTTAAGGATTTTATTGAAAATACTCTTTTTGTTAGAATGAATATTACTAAAAAAAAACTATTTCATTAACAACAGCTATCTGATGGCTTAATATTTTTAGATTTTTTACCAATAATATCATTAAGGTATATACTATGATAGGCATAAATGTGAAGATATAATAATTTACCAAAAAAAATTTCTTGAAAAGATTTCTTATTATGAAACCTTAATGGCAAAGTATATTGGAGATGATATGAAATGTATTCCTTCTGAATTAAAAAATGGTGAAAAGAACACATTTAAATCACTCATGATGAGTGTATTTTTTATGCTAACAATGATAAAAGAGAAATTTAGGCTCTGAATAGTAAATTACCATTACAAAAAAAAGGTAATGGAAGCTCCATTATGATCAGTGAATTTTTTTCCGAAGCTTGTAAATGTTTGTATTTAAGTTAAGAAGATATAATAAAACATCCAATTATACTAAATGAAACGTGTGTTTATTTAATACCTGGTAAAAATCAAGAAGGTTATTTGACTGTTCAACATTTAATTAAACAAGTAGAATATAAAGCAATACCAATCTTTGAAGCTTTATTTCCTAATTGTATAGCAGTTTTTGCTTTTAATAACAGTTTAAATCATTCAGATATCGTTCTGATGCATTAGTAGCAAATCAGATGAATCTTCGACCTGAAGAAAAACAAAATAAAATGCGAAGTGCTGTATGGAGACCAAATAATCAATATCAAGAAATAGTTTTTCCTGATAATTATCATATATCAGAACTTTAAGGAAAACCTAAAAGTATGGAACAGGTTCTTCGTGAAAAAGGACTTTGGGATAAAAAATATTTAGCAGATTGTAGTTTGTATAAAAATAAAGCTACACAAGATGATTCAACGTGAACTAAATGTTGTGCAAGGCGTATTATATCATTACAACCTGACTTTCTTGCACAAAAATGTGCATTTCAAGAAGTAATAGAAGAAGCTGGTGATATATGTATTTTTTATTCTAAATTTCACTATGAATTAAATTTTATTGAATGATATTAGGGTAGCAAAGCGTTATATTCGAGAAAATTATGATTATTCTTAGTCAGGATTACAACAAATAGTTCCTATAAGTTTAGAATTAATAAATCTTACTACAATTCGAAAATTTGCTCAGCATGCTTGGCATTATATGGATACATATAAAAAAGGAATATCAGGTAAATTGGCTGAATATACAGTAAAAAAATATAAAGGTCATAGGCTAATTTCTGATCATGTAATTAAAGAATTAAATAAAATTACTTTATAAATATTTTAATATATAAAATATAAAATATAAAATTATTGTCATGTGTCTTGAATTTTATTGGTCAAAAATCACGTGATTGATTACAAAATGACTTAAAAAATTTCAGACTATTGTTGAGTATAAATGAAATGTACCATATGTTTCCTTAGTAAAATAATGTCTCTGAAGCTATGAAGGCATTTTTTACTGTTTTACTTAGTAAAAAAAGGTATTTTTGAAGCTACAGAGGTGCTTTTTACTATAGTTTTCTTAGTAAGAACTACTCCTGAAACTTTAGAGATAGCTTTACTATTGATTCAAATTAAATCAAATATTTGAATACTTAATTTAAATTTGATCAAATCAAATTAAATATAAGTTTGATTTTATATTTGATTTGATTTTTAAATCAAATATTCAAATATCAAATCAAATTGCAGAACCCTAGTAGTTATCCAGCAAACTTACAGAAATTACAAAAAGATCCAAACCTTTGGCAAAACAAGTTTGAGAGGCAGTGAGAAATGATAGAATGATAGTACTTCTAATAGAAAGAAATTCTTAGATATACTTACAATCCCACAAATGGAAATAAATCCTAAGACTCAAGAAGAATATGCTTTACATCTTAATGAATTTGTTGATATGCTTAAAAAAGCAAATGCTTATCAATATTATATCAAAAATTATAATCTAGCCAAATGGGCTATAGCGTATAAGGAATATATTTATTATTATCCTAACCTTTGTGTAGAAAAAAAGAAATGGCAGTTGAGTAAATGACTAAATAAAAAAACACATTATCTTGTTAAGAAAATATTAGAATAGCAAGATTACAGGCAAGTATATATTCTACAATATGGACTCCAAATTATTTATCTGTTATAAAGATATATAATAGAATTTTTACAGGATCCTGAAATTATCTTGTTAAAGAATTCAATAGACTTTTTATTAAATTAAAATAATATATTATCCAGCCATGTGAAGCGTCTCACAGTCAATCCATGTCGACGTATATGACATAAATTAACACATTTTTGATTTTCGTTAAAGTGCATATGATGTAATAAGTGATACTCTACAAATCATCTGTAACTTTGTGTAACTATTTGTATGACAAATTAATTTTCACATAAGAAATCAATTCCCAAAAATATTTCAAATTTTTTCTCTTATCCCTTAGATTGTAGGGTTTCACATGCAAATTTGCCTGCTTATTTACTATAAATTCTCTTCTGATTTACTTTTATGAATAATTAATATTTTTAAAATTTTTTTTTTAAATTAATTATATAAATATGTAATATATTATAATAAGTTTTATCTTTAATTATATAATAAAAAATGTAATGTTACTTAAAAGCTAAAAATTTGTAATTTTTAAAAAAAAATTATTTTAAAAAATTTTATGATTAATCTATGGTAAACTTTTTAGAATTTACTTTTAATTATATTAATAATAATAGAATATTATAAAATTACTTATAAAGAAAAACTTTTATTATTATAATTTTTATAATTTATTAAGAAATTTTATGACTTTAATTAATAATAAAGTGATTCAATTAGTACACAAACATATAAATTTTTAAAAAATAGATGTATAGGATCCAGGACAACAATGAAGAATTTATCATGTAAATGAATTAGAAATAAGAAGAAAGTAATTACCATTAAATTAAAGCGTTATCAGTAATCATTAAACTATAAAATCATCATCATAATATATAGAAAAAGATTAAAATAATACTATAAATGCAAAAAAACTACCTAAAGAATAGATTATGAAGTCACCATTAGATTGTAATATTAGATTATAAAATTATCATCAGATTATATAATTAGATTATAAAATCACCATTATATTATGAAGTTACTGATAGGCTATAAAGTTACCAGTAAACCATAAAGTTACTATTATATTATGAAGTTACCAGCAGACTATGAAGTTACCATTATATTATGAAATTACCGGTAAACTATAAAGTTATCTTCATAACCTAATCTAAGTCACATGTGACTTAACACTATTAGTATTTTTTAAAATTAAAAAGAAAAAAAAGTGCTTAAAGGCATCCTTTTTATATTTGTTAAATGAATGTTTTGACTAAAAAATAGTCATGTAATATTTATTTAAAAAAATATCAAAATAAATGCATCATTAAATTTGTATGTTTTTACGTTTAATAAAAGAAAATATTAATTTATTTAAAAAAAAGATTGGATAGATTGATAAAATAGATTATAATAAATCCTTTAATTAAGTTTTATAACACATTTTCTTAATTACAAGTTATTTTAATTTTAAAATTTGTGATCAAGTAATATAATATTTTTAACCATCACTGTATATAAAAATTATATTTTTATAATTTTTAATGTATAATCTAATAAAATATTAATATTACAAAAAATAATGCGTTACATCTAAAGCTTATTTTACATATTTTTCTTTAAAATTAGAGAATACTATTTAAGTTCAAAAATAATTTTTTTAATGCAATTATAATTTAAAAAAAATCATAACTCAGTTTCTTACAAGAAAAACAGCAGATACTGTAATTACTGTAGATAAATAAAGATCTAATACAATTATACATTTGTAATTGCAATCTCAATTAATGATCTTTTGTATTAAATTAAGTATGAGTATTTGCTTAGAATGTAAATTCCTAATATATAATGGTTATTATTATAATTTTACTAAAAAACTTAGCATAATTTAGTAGTTTGCAATTCACTAGTTGTTTATCTCTAAAGTTTATAGTTCAAATATATTAACTACAAGCTTATTATTCAGATATCTATTATATATCAGCATTGTTTCATTATGAGAAAAAATTTTGCTATAAAGTTTTGTGGATCACAAATTTGATCTTTTTAGATAATAATTGCTAATTAATAACTTTTGTTATAGATATCTAATCAGAATAATTACAATGTTATTTTATAGTAACAGTTAATATTTATTGAATTATTTTGATTTTTAAGCTTGGTAAATATATTTGATGGCTTTTTGTAATATAAATCTACACTTATTATAAATACTTAAAACAAGATTTCATATATGTATCATATTGATATTATAGGATCCCTATCAGATCAATTAAATATATATTTAATTCAGATCAATTTTATTTCAGACCTGATCTGATCTTATCAGGTAAGATTTCTTTTAGCAGACAAATAATATAATGTATTAAAATAAAAACATAGTATTACAAATTTCCTAATTCTGTATAAGGTAAGAATATATGTGTTTGTTTATTTTATTTAATAATAACAATTGATATGCAATATAACAATCACATTATTTATAATTGCATAAAGGATTAATTTTTTATAGAAAAAAAAAAAAATAAAAAAAATGAAACTTTAAATCCTTAAATTCGATTATTTGTTCTGGTGTTTATTGCTTTATTGCAGTGTGTAAGATTTCTATAATTTCATTCTTTAGAATTTTCTTTTAAAGATATAATTTGCTAATAAAAATAGATTGGGCGGTAATCACCCTACCCTGTACGATGATCAGATAAATTAAAAACGGCTAAACAACCAAATTGAAAAGAAAACCTACTTGATCTGTTAATTGATAATTGAAATCGAGAGAATTTTCTAGCATAAATAACGAAAAGAAAAAAAATGTCTCTTATCTACGGGTTGGTAGCTCGAGGTTCTGTCATTTTGGCAGAATACACCAGTTCTTCTGGTAATTTCACTCAAGGTGAGTAATATTTTTAAATGTTTCGTTGTATGTCAAAAATGCTTTAAGCTTATTTTATCATGAATTCTTTAGTAACCCAGGCGATTCTTGAAAAGATTCCACCAAATAACTCCAAGCTGACATATGTTTACGACAGGTAATTATTATTTCTTATAAGTTGGTTAGCAAAAAAAGAGACAAGTTATATTATATTAAATATGTATGCATTTTTAACTGTTTCATAAAAAGATATCTTTTTCATTATATTTGCGAAGATGGGCTCACTTACATGTGTATGGCTGATGATACGTTTGGACGACGAATTCCGTTTTCCTTTCTGCAGGATATTAAAGAACGGTTTTTAGCTGCTTATCCGAAAGAAAGAGCAAATACAGCATTGCCTTATGGTATGAACGAGTTTTCAAAAGTTATTGCAAAACGAATGGTATGTATCAGATAACATTTGGTAATTCATCTTTAGTATTTTTTATTTCTATTTTTTTTTTAAAAAACAATTTTCTTATATAGGAATATTTTTCAAATAATCCAAATGCTGATAAAATTAAACAAGTGCATGGAGAAATTGAACAAGTTAGAGATGTTATGGTTCATAACATTGGTAATTACAGCTTTTGCTTTCTTTTATAAAGAGATACATAATTGATTCACTAACAACTTTATTATAGAACGTGTTTTGGAACGTGGAGAAAGAATTGAGCTTTTGGTTGACAAAACCGATACTCTAAACCAACGAGCATTCGCCTTCAAAAAGCGAAGTACTGCGTTGAGGGTTTGTGGTCATTTACATACATATAAATTTTTAAAATTTTATGACATGGCATTGAATATTGAATTTTGATGATATTTTGTTCAAAATAGCGATCCATGTGGTGGAAAAATACAAAACTGATGATTCTTTTGGGATTCGTTATTATTGTAAGTAGGAAATGTGAACTTTTTTTTTTCGAAAATAAAATATAATTAAAGTGAATAACAATTTTTTCCTTCTAGTTGCTCATTTATTTTGTTATTAGTCTTGCTTGTGGATTTCCTAGTAAGTCTTCTAAATTGCTCAATATTTTATTTTTGTTTTTTATTTGCTAATTTTAATTTTAATTTATTAATTTATTTGATTTATTATAGCTTGGCAGTCTTGTCACGGCTAAAATTAATGTATTGGCGACAATAAATACCACCTTCCATAAGAAAACATATATTACACACTACATTTTTTTTATTATTTTTTTTAAAAAAAATTACTACTAATAATAATAATTAGCTTCAAATTTTTTTTTTTTATTATTTATACAATATTTTTCATCAGGTAGATTGAAATATTATTTTAAAAAAGTAAAGAAAACTTTAACTGAAATTATTGTTTCATGAAGTAATTTCTAGGGAAATTTTGTGGGAATATGTATAATAGATTTATAATCAGAATGTATTAGTTATAAATTTATATTTTTTGAGATATCCAATTACATGAATTCTCAATTTCAAGTGATATTGTAATTACCCTTGCACCCGCCTCGTTTGAACAAAACCATCATTCAATTGAGCCTGGTATCGATAAGCGGCTATAAGAATTGAGGGATTTACAATTTCCAAAGGTTCAATCACATTGGCTAATATATTAGGATGAATAAGACGGAAATCAATATAGTTTAGAATAGATTTCAATATCGAAGAAATTGTACTCCTATGTTGTTTTAATAATTCATTATTTGAATCAATCGGGTTGCATTCTCTACAAAAAGATTCCTGTCCTTCAGAATCTTCATTATTTGGTAAAAGTAACCAAAAATTAAGAACATCATTCCTTGAAATTTGATCTACAGCCCACAATATACAATATTTAAATACATCATACTCCGGAGTAACAAAATTCCCTTCCTTTATATTTAACGTGCGATGAAGAAGAAATTCCAAAGCTTTTGATGAAAAATTTTGATATTCTATGTTATATAGAGATTTTGACATTAAAAATCTACAAATTTCATCGATAAGTTGATTATCATCATCCGATGATGAAAGAGTGGTGATAATAGAATTATCAGACACTTTTGATAGAATTTTTGCTATTTGATTACTACTACTAACATTATGACGATGTTTCATGTATGTTTTCATAAATTGAACAATCATTTCTTTCAAATTTGGAAGTAAAAAGACTGTTGCACCATTATACGCGTCTGATAAGATGTCTATTGTTAATGTTTTGTCAGAAACATTCCCAGTATAAAGATATTCTAATACAACTTTGACAGCTGAAGAAGGTAATTCTGCTATGTTAATTTTGTTTGTTGAATCTTTCGCTTCTTGTTTAGTTGAGGAAAATAATTTGTTAAAATATTCCGAACGAGCGGATAAAAGTAATTTACAAGCATTCAATTCTTCTCCATCTTTACATGTAATAATAATATCGCTGTAAAGTGGATTATTTATCATATCCGTTAAATCGAGAGTTAATGATACTCCTCGCGTAAATGGTTTAGCCGTTTCTTTAATTTTTTTGGCGGTATGCTCATCAGCGTCGGTAGTCTTGTTGGATTTATTAGTCTTCTTTGGAATTTCATTAGGAATTGCTTCGGTAACTCGAACTCTCTTGCGTAATTTTTTTCTAACTTCTGACATAGTTATCCTCCCCCTTCGAGTGAGGTGATTCATCGTTCGATTTTACTGTGCTTGTGTAGTACAAGTAGATCATATCCGGAAAAATTACGTCAGTTCTAAATAGATCAACCCATTTATATAGATTCCCTAAATTCTTTTTATCCTTTTGAAATAGATTTGAAATAGATCAAATGAAAGAATACACTGAAGAATCACCACAAATAGAACCTGTGTTGTCTGTACAAGATTCATTATCTTGGTATTGGATCATTATAATATTCTTATTATCAATTTTATACCTTTATATTGCTATTAAGGAATATCCAAAATGGAGAATATTACGAGAGAATTACTTTACCAAAGTCAAAAAAAATTCTTCCTCAGACGCTAAAACCGATTCTGCAGAACAACAACAAAATAAAAATCCTTTACTTTATATTCCATTTATTCCTTTCGCGGCTATATATTTGTTCTTAAGATTAACCTGGGACTTGTTTAGATTATTCGTATTTTATTCATTAGATTCAATTGAAACAGGATTGATCAAATTGTGGCATCTTACAAGATGGAGTATTAAAATGATACCAAAAATTTGCGTAGCGATACCACCATTATGGGATACCTATATTCAAGGACCAATAATTGTGATATTAGATTGGATATACTCAGACGTGTGGCCAATTTTTAAATCCATGATGATTACAACGTGGGATATTGGCATGATAATATGTATACAAGGACAAAAATTTCTGATTCATTCATGGAATTTTTCCGTGAAATATTCGAAAATCGGATGGAATGAAATAATATTTCCATTATTGGTATTCATGTCATGGATTATAACGAATTTTATTGTTGAACCTGGAAAATGGGTCGTATCAAAAGCCATTTACTTGGGAAAGATAACATGGTATTGTGCTTGTGCCCTTGCTAAAGATTTAGCAAAAGATTTTAGGGATCTATTATGCTTTGGATGGAAAATTTCAGAGATCATATATAATAACGCATTAAAACCTACCGGAGAATTTATTCAATTTTCATCAATCAAATTTTATGAAAAATGCGAATATTATTTTCCTATATTTCAAAAAATTTTATATAATAGATTTGTATTAGCGGCCACAAGTGAAACAAGTTATTTAGTATATGTGATATGTGGAGATCCATTATTTCGTAGTTTTGCGGAATTCATTTATTCTATTATACAATCTCCTACCCTTTATAATTTCATCAATAAACATCTTCAATTACTTACACCAATATTGATAAGTCGTATAAGGCAAAGTGGGTTGGAATTAGCGGAATACTCATTTATCTCAACGATGGATGCGATTAGATCAGCATATCATACTTATCATACTACTCTCTTACCAATAATCATTGGTATCCCTAAATTTTATAACGAGGCTAAACTCGCTTGTAATAAATTTTATAGAAATATTAAAGAAAAGGTGTTACAAATATTAGGATCGTTATGGACCATATTTGCTCCTTTATTACGTCCTGTAATATTAGCGTTAAGTTTCTTTTATACCACAGTTATTTTAGTCATACTTTTAACAACATTAAGGATGAGTAAATGGGCGGTATCAATGTCAATCATAGCCTTTAGCGAAGCGTTCGTCTTAGTTAAAAAAGTGTTATCAATACTACATTCTAAACTAGAATCGATTTATAATGTTCTTTCACCTCATATCTCTTCAATGCTACAGGTGGCAAAGGGTATGATGTATGAATTATTCATGGAGATTAATGATTTAATGTCAAAGTACTTTCCTTCATTTATAAATTCTTTCAAGGTATTTGCGTTAAGGCAGCTGCAATTACTAAAAGATTATACTAGAGTTAGTTATGAAAAATATGAACCTGTTGTTTTAGAATTGAAAGAGCGTGTTAGGGTGGCTGCCGATGAAGCTGTTATTGGTATTGGTCAAGCTATGATAAATTGGGTTAAAAATGAAAGGGCATTAAAAGATGGAATATCACTTCAAGAATAATGATAGTTGAGGTAATCAGGCATAGACGTTGTTTCTAGATTATTTATTATTAAAACATTGAACAATATCACCGATCTTTCTTTAAATAATTTGAAATTCACTTTTAGTATATGCAATGTCAATTGTGAAATCGATATCTTGGATTAAATTTATTGATCATCTGTCTCCATTCTAAACATTCTACAAATTTGTCATGCTCTTGCTATTCATTTTTAGAATATGGATCATTACAATAATTATGTAAGGTTCTTAATCTTTGCTTAGGTACTATGATTTTATGAGAATTTAAATGGCTTCTTAAAGATAATGTTCCTGTTGATGATGAAAATACAACCTTGCATCCTTTACAAATAGAATGATCATTATTAATATCAAAATTCTTCCATATTGTTAATTTAAAAATTCCTTTATTTGTTTTTGATCTAATAGATTATGATGCCTCTTGAATATCATTGGTATCATTATCTATTTCATCCTGAAAGTCTTCTTTATCATCTTGAATAATTGTTGCATTATCAAAATCTTCACAAAATAATATAATATACAATATAAAATTATAAAACAGAGAAATTTTTAAAAAAAAATACATCGCATAATTAGTCCGGAGTGTATCTAATTTTATGACCGGTGACACAAGATGCCGTCCGCTCAAAAATTGAGTCGATACATGATTGGTCTTTTTCGTTACACATAAGCTCTGAACTTAACAACGGTTTTCGAAACCGTTCCCTAGTACCGTAAAATCTTGAAATTAAGCATCCCTTTTTTGCAGTCATGTGATCGATAAAACCGATGGTGGTGCTTAATTTTGATTATCACCTGATCCGTCATAAAAAAAAATTATCGCGATCAGTTATAAAGAAAAAATTTAAGAAAAAAATTCATAGGTACTTACCATCCATCCATCTTATCCACTATGAAAAGAAAATTTTTAATTTTTTTTCTTCATTTAATACCCGTTATAAAAAAAAAATTTGAAAATTTTTTTTTTATTACCACTCAACATTTACAATTTAAACTTTTTTTTTTTTCATATCTACCGCCACTTGCAATAAAAAAAGTTTTTTTGAATTTTTTTTTCGTACCTACTGTCTGTCACTTCATCTACAATAAAAAAAAGTTTTTTGATTTTTTTTCTCGTGCCTACCGTCCGCTACTTTACCTACAATAAAAAAAAGTTTTTTTGACTTTTTTTTCTTGTGTCTATCGTTCACTACTTTACCTACAATAAAA